TGGTTCTTTTCTACCAATGGTGCATATTAAAGTCAACAATTTAAGCCTTGTCATAATGAAGCTCTCTGTCTAATAAAGGATGAATTCACATGAACAATATTCCAAGATTTATGGTAATTTTATGAAAAAAAGTGTAGGAATTCTATCCTTTTATATCACTATAATATACTAAAATGCCGCATCAATTTTTAAATACATCCGTGCAAATGCATCAAGAGATGAGGCTATTAACCGACTCCTTTGTCCGCGTGGGTTTGTCGAGCAGGTCATTAGAGCATTAGTTCAAGGTGAGTTTTACTCATCTTGATTATATAATCACGTTTATTGAATACCGGTCATCGACCGTTACACGAATTATAATAAAAAACTGGTTTTTATTTTTACTTTTAATTTTACCTTTTTGAAGTAACTTGTTATAAAATTATGAAAGTATGTTCAAGAAGGTGAGTTTAAAAAGTGTGACCTAACAGTAATCATTAATTAATTATTTAAAATATTATTAACTAATATAAATCTTACTATTATAAATGCGTATGTTTGGTTGTATAGACGGATGTTTCTTAGAATGTTCTCCAAAACGGCTGCTTCGATCTCGCTGAAATTTGGTAATCATGTAGAATGTAGTCTGGAAGAACACATAGGCTACTAATTATTATTTTTTAATCACGAGCGGACGAAGTCGTGTGTGACAGCTAGTATTTTAATTTAACCTACATCTGCAGTGGGTTCATCACGTACCCACCTGGGCGAATATTCGATCACAACTTACCTTGAGGTGCCGATATCTTAAATTACTTATAATATAGTGTACTATGTGATACACATATTGTATATGCATTTTATTAGACCTTAAATATGCTACATGTATACCTAACGTGGGTACTGTGGGCGCAAATTGCGTCTAGTTCATAAAATATTCGGATCAAGGTGAACACTTATTCGATTGTTTACAGTTAAAATGATCATATAATTAACCTCATATATGTAAATTGCGAAACAATTTGAACTTTTAAAAATTTTGTCGTTCGTTTAAATTAACCTTTTATAAATGTAATGGTTTAATGTATCTGGTTTAAGTATTAATGTCATTCACCGCTTAACTGCAACAATTTAAATTGCGTCATTAAATGGGACATAGTTAAACCAAATTCTGTAATGAGGATAATATATTTAATTGATTGAAAATCAAGGTAGGATAGAGTTACAGCTAAAATATTCTATTTCAATACGTTTCTGATCCATTTGGTTCATATTTATAACCTACTAGCTGTCGGCCGAGTTTCCGTCTGCTAGGGAATTAAAAAACAAACGTAATAAGTAGTCTATGTGTTTCCAGACTATTCTCTACATATATGCCCAATTTCAGCAAGATCCATGCAGCCGTTCCAGAGATACCTTCAAAAAACATCCATTCATCGACACATCTATCCATCTATTTAAAAATTCGCATTTATAATAATAGTAAGATATTTTTTGGAAAGCTACTGAATAATGTTCGTGTACTCTGTTACATACAAAGTAATTAAATTAATTTTCGGGTCTATCTTAAAGATCGCATCGTAATTTTAGTGGCTAATAGCTTCGCCACATATGAGATTAATTACTTTATTAATAACAATATTATTATTATATTTTTAATACGCCAGGTCGTGGCGAATCCCATTTCAAGAATACCCGTAAAGAAGTCTTTGAAATGCGAAGACGATATTAATTTTTCAGTAAGCTGTCAAGGCGTATGAAAGCGTTGCGTCTGGAGCCCGCGGCTTGCGACTCGCAGCGGTATAGCCCGCTCACAATGAGCTGATTCAGATCTATTCCAAGGTGTCGCAACTTATTATGCGGTCCGAAGGCCGCGCGAAATGTTAACCGGTCAACAGAATCGATGGCTCGTTACATCTCATTGCGTAATGTTACTTGTCTGCACTCGCTGAATCGCTTGAGCACTACCATACCTTTTTTTATCTATACTGTTGTCTAAAGTTTTTAGGGTTCCTTTGCATAATTATTTTCTTTATCAAAAATTAAATAATTCAATTATAAATTTTTTTATTCAATAACCCATATCAGTTATTAATAAATTGACTTTATAAACCATTTTCAAAATTTAAACTAGCCGAACAATGTTATATGAATCCTCTCATTTTACCGTAGTAACATTAACATCAAAACATAATACTATCGTCATCTCAGTTTTTTTAAAGAATATAAAAAGGACGACATGATATATTCGACTGATGAAACCCATGAAAATACGGCACCGTCCTTTTAGATGTACCGGCGTGCTTGACCGATTTTTAATACCTGGGAACACTTGGTTCCGTATAGTACTTTGAGCACCACTATCATTAAATAAATTTACTATATTTATAAGCGTTATTTTATGTAGAGGAATTATCTTTAAAATGAGGTCACGTGTAAATTAACTTCCAAGTAATTTACTTGTCGTTTCCGTTATTGCGTTATGTGTTAATACAATAATTGAAATTGTATAAGGAAAGATTAATTTATCTTACTTCTCTCTTTCTCTTACTAACATTATAAATGCGAATGTTTAGACGGATGGATGGATGGATAGATGGGTTTTGTTTGAAGATATCTCATGAATGGCTCAACGGATCTTGATTTAATGTTGCACAGATGGAGAACATAGTCTTTAAGAACACATAGGGTACTCATTATTTTTTTTTTAATACTCGCGAACCGAGTCGTGGGCGATAGCTAGTAAGTTGTATTAGTCCTAAGAATTACTTTAATGAAACTAATGAACATATAATAATTGAGAGAATGAAGTTTATTCAGAAACAACCTCCATTTAGTTAGATAGAATTGTCTCAAGGAAATCTCTTATACTTGTGTCAATTATACAACCGAACCTGGTTAAGTGAAGGTCGTTGTCCGGTATCGATGGACAACCTCAATAAGCAAAAAACTGGGGTTTGAGAGAAACCTCTATGTGTCTGAGTGAGAATAAAGTCGCTATAGCTGTGACTTTTGCTAATCCAGATTCGAATGATGCCATGTCTTATATTTTCTTACAAAAAAACAGATACAACAACATTTGTCTATAGAAGTGCCAAGCCAGTCAAAAAGTACTACTTCAACATTTTAAACAACATATCCATCCCAAAAGTACAATTTAAACATGAGTCAGAGCCATTTAAATTTATCTGAATGGGGTAAGTAAATTGTTTTTGGCCTAAATTTACATTCAAACCTTGAATTTACATCAAAAGGTTGCTTGTCTGTTAAAAGGTCAATGATATCATGTTACTTAATAATGGATAATGGGTCAGTGAGTAATGGGTCAATGGATACTTAATAAATAATTGAAATACCAACGTAATTATAATAAGCGTCATGATGATCTTTCTTTAATAAGGTATGGCTATAAATAAATACATATAAGGTGGAAGTATGGAACGTTAGTTTACTGAATGGAATTTAACATCCTTGTATTTATGTTATGTGAGTTATAAAGATTAATAATCGTATTGAACAAAGGTCGTTTATGTCGCGATGCAGAATGCCGAAACGCTCATAAATCCGATTTCTCGGTTTCTCCTCAATCATTTTGAAAAGAAAAAATCTCAGGTTTATTTTCACCATTGAATATTGCCAGTACAAACTATATTTAACTGTTGTTGTTTAATTTTATAAGTCTACTAAATTCTAAACATTATGTTAAATATTTCAGATGTATCAATTACTTGGATAATATTCGGATTTAATAGTAAAGTTGGTGCAGTTTCCTAGTAAGATTTTTGTGATATATATAACGTATCGTACTACAAGATCGCAAACAAAATAGTCGTTTTAGTAAAAATAAAGCAAAATACAATCCTAAACCTATACCACTTCTTGTAAACGAACTTGGCTGGATGCCAGTAAAATGCCAAGCGTTGGTGTTCTACCGTTGTGTTTTTTGTACGTTTTCCGTTTCCGTTGATCTTTCTCTTATTTTTCTGCGACAGCAGGTGGTATGGGGAGAAACTGTTTTATCGATTATTCCCTTTATATTCGTATTTTTGACATATCTAAAAAGGTTTCATAATCTTTATTACTGATGGACGTATTTCTTTTAACACTAGAAGACGACAAGAGGCACGTAGGAGTAAATCGACGTTTAGTGAATAACCTAAGCCTATGTTACGTACCTTTAATTTTGCATTTTAACTGAACAATCGCATATATACAGTTAAATCGTACGTGTGTAGGCAAAACTGATAACTTTAAAGTTTTAATGTTAGTTAAAAGTTTTCCCTACACAAGTTTTAACTTTTTAGTTCGACTTATAATACTGGAATTATGTAGCCTTATTTCAAACAAATTAAATAAAGATTAAATAATGTTATAATTTAATTGACGTATTAATATTTATTTCAATACAAGATTTTGTATAAGATAACATTTTAGGTCACATGTGTCGTTACTGTGCGACTCAATAACATAAATGTACTGATCACAATTTTACACTGAGAGATAATCATTTATAAGCAGCCAACGTGTTCGAATCAATTTGTACAGGAGCGTATTCAAATACATTTTTTATTTTATATATTTTTTTAATAATTCAATACTCATTTTATATATGTATATGAATTTTAAGTGACGTTTGTGATAGGATATGAAATAATCATTTTTTCTGGTAAATATGAGATTATTTAGCTAGTATTATATTATAAGCCACTATCATGTTTACCTGTCTCGTTACGGTCTTATAGATGATTGTATAATATTGGTATTTCTGCTGTAGAAACTTTTATATGTTTCAAACTAATAAAAAAAGGACCTTATGTCGCCGAATTTAATTCTAAAAATATGTATGCTATTATAATTTACAAAAAATATTAATACAATAACAAACCTTAAAATGTTAGCTCACATTTTCATAAAAAAATAGAATAAAATTATTTTATAATACGACCAAGTAAAAATTTAAAAATTTCTCTATGAATAACTTTAAAAATATGTTATTTCGATGAAATTTATAAATATTTTTAATACTTATCACTTTAACTGCTACTTTTTTCCATTAAGTAATTTTAAGCACACTATAGTTCCTATCCTGGATAAAATAAAGCTTATGCAATATTACATTTTGTGCTTTCACGCACCACGTCCTAGTTATCTTCATTCTAGGTGGTACTTAGAAGTTAATTTAACGGTTTCACACCATTGAGTTGCAGATCACCAGTTATCGTCTCTAGGTGGCGGTGGTGGCCTGGAAATATAAAATAAATTATTAACAAAGGAATACATTGATTGTGATAGATAAAATTTCTATTAACCGGCAACGCTCAAGCCAGTATCACACCCGTCAGTATAACCATAAAGTTTGTAAAATTGAGTGGTCAGGGTTGTGCTCATAATGTAATCTTGGCCCCTTGTTCGTCGTTGCAAGTCCGCCAAAATCCGACTCTGTACTAGAGTCGGTTAAGCCACGTTTAAATTACTAAAATTATTAAACGTATAGGTAAAGCATCGTTTAAAGTGAATGAATCGATTTGAACTTCAAACATATGTGAATCGAATTCAGTTATGAAACAAACTTCTTTCAGTCCCGAATAAATAAACTTACTTTGAACATAATTGTATCAAAAAGAACTTCAGAACAGTCATAACATGAATGTGGCTGTAATTTGTATAAAAACTTCTTAAAGGAAATTTTCTTTTTAAATGCTAAACGTACTTTGTTATGGCTTCCCGATGTGCCTTATACCACGTACTACGATCCCAACGCAACAACTCCGACGCTATTGTTTTGCTTTACATTTTTTAAAATAACCGAGAGAAGAATATTTTAGCTTCACGATGAAAGTATTTTTACAGCTTTATTTATGATACATTGTTGAATAATATACTCGAACAATACCTAACTATTTTATGGCTAACAGCAATATATTGATTACTTTGTTTGTCTCATAATCTAAATAAATTATGATTTTTTCACATTTCACACCAATGAATGTTGCACCATTATGACAAATGATATCGTATTCCAATTTAGTAGCTTATCGATTATTATATAAGTGTAGTAAAGTAATGAAAAATCTTGCTCGAAGGACCATATTTTGAATCTGATTAAGTAAACTACTTGCAACTGCTAGATGCTAATCGCTAGTGGTAGGGCGTAAATATGAGTTTTAATATTTATCATACAGAGCTGGGTGGAGTTAATTAATGCATGCTCAAATAGTTAAAATAGGTATCATATTGAATTGTGTGTATAAGTAATTCTTTTTATCTTAATATTATATTGTTTAATTTTCCAAGTCAAGATTAGCTTGGTTTCTCGATCCGAAGAATACTTTATTCATACTGAACTAATGGTCAAAAATATTACCCAGGAACTGATCCAGGCGTAGCCCAATTGCCGTTTTCGCAGGGTTCCGTCTCCGGTGTTCCTTGAGGTCTGAAAAACAAAAAAACAAATCAATTAGCTATGGTTATTATCAATTATTTTTTACTTGTATTTGTACTTAAATCTAGAAATTCTATTGTCAGTAATTATTTTAGCAATAATTTTATACTTACGCAGTATTAAAGTTAGAAAGGGTAATGAAGTCCTGCGCGCTCATTCTCCTATCGTACGTTCGCCAGAGATTGACGCACAAAGGAGTAAGCAGTATGCACCACAGCAGACCCAACACGACTCCGCAAAGCCACCAGCCGTGCTTGTAATAAACCATTGACAGAATAATAATATTAGACAAGACAACTAAAGGGTACACAGAGATAGATGCAACAGAATAGAAATTGAAAAGCAATATTATCTTACCAAAGAGGAAATGTATTTAGTGCAGAGTAGAGCCCTGACCGCAGCGTATACTGCAAACAGCGGTTGACAGCGGGCGGCGTGTTTGCCGGTGGACGTGAGCACGTGAGAGCGCCATCTAGCGGCGTGCGACACCAACCGGGATACGTACGCTGACACCTTCTAAACGATAACGAATAGCTCGTAGACATGATTCGTGTTACAATGCTGCTATTGTAAGCGAAATTGCAACGTATTGGCACAATAAATCTGCAATCTGTTACAATCAATGCAATCATCCACATATACTCTACAGCGAATAAACAGAGTTGATCCTATAAAACGGTTTAACGTTGTTAGGACATAAATCTAATGATGTCGTGAAAAGTACGTGATTTGAGATGAAAACAGAAAAGTTAGTATTGAGATATAAGATTAGTTTTATAACGTCTGTTTTGTTTTATTGTGATATAAGTTTAAACATTTTTAATATTTGGTTGGTACCACAAAATGAATTCGTGGTCATTTTAGTCATAGTGGTAAACTGGAATGGTGTTTTACCGGACTATTGCTCACAAAAAAACCTACAAGGCCCTTCAATATTACAATCAAAAAGTTATCACTTGTAGAAATCTTGTAGAATTATTTGTCGTTTCAGCGCAAGTAAAATGTTCAAAAGTATTTCGCCAAGAATGGACAAAACGAAAACGTAGTTGGCCGGAGAACACGCAGTTAGATGTCTTAATTGCCGCGTGTGGGCGGACGCTTCGTGGCTTTGTTCACGATTTATGCGATTCTATCTACAACGCCAACGCTGACGCAGTCTACTTAAGAAATTTATACTTTTATTTACCTACATATAACTTAAAATTATAAAGTTTTAGTTGGTGACATTATTAGGCGAGTGAAATGACAAATTATAGATCGATCTGGACAACAAAAACCTGGTAAGCTGACCCTACATGAGTATAATAAGAACAGAGAGATGATAATATACAGATCATTAGATACATACTGTTGCCTTGGGCGCCTCCGTAGACTACAGACTTACCCACAACAAACCATACAGTTTAGTTGGGACAGAGTGCGCACTTTACATCCCAACAAACAAACTGTCGACAGAAGCTGTGGCCGGCGGCTCTTTAAACTGGATAGATACAACTTGAGAAAAGACAATGGTCTTATCGAAATAGTTGCTTACTTTCTGCGCGATGACGTCTCCTTGGTTGTCGATGTAAAACTGCGCCGTATGAATATGACTCAGTGATATATTCAGTCTTCTTCTGTACGGTATTAATTGTAGTTCAAGTTCAGTCAACTTGAATACAAGATCCGCTCTCAACTGCTCTAATGGTTTTATATTACTTACATAAACTCTTTCTGTACGTTTAGCTGAAAAGTAAATTTTAATTTTAATACCGACAATCTCTGATTTGGTACTTTGAGATTCCTTGCTTGAACACAGGATTTGCAAAGTAAGTGATTCGAACAAGTCTACTTACTGCTTTATAATTCATCATGTTTCATCGTCACAAAATACTGACGTGACAAACCATACCTTACCTAAGGTTTCGAGCCTTCCCGACGTTGTTAAATCGGATACTTGCGCCGCAACATTCTCCAATTGATCTTCTAGAGCAGGCAGGTCTTTTCCAACAACTGGATTGTTATATTCCATCCTTAAATATAAGATGTCTGGTTGGGAATTGAATGGATTGCAATAATAAGGAGTTCGGTGCCGTAACCTATGAAGAGTTTTACCAACGAAACAAGTATGAATTCCAATTTGATTTGTAGAATGGTCCCATACTTACCTGTATAAAGGTAGGTTAACATTAGATTTTACAAGAATCTCATTAAGTATTCTGTTAAATGGAGCCGATATTGATTTGAGGAAGCTGACGTCGACGGCAGTAGACAGCCGTCCCAGATCCGCTTGCAGCTCCTCCCATTCGAAGTACGATGTCTCTTTGTTAACATCCAAGATTCTGTCAAGTTGAAAAACTACGTACGCCGGTCGATTCAGTTCGCAGTCTCTGAGACAGAAACAGGTAAGTAAGCAATTTTATTTACTACTCGAGTTGAAACTTGAAATGAAACGTTAAAACTTTGTAACTTGTTGGGAAATGTTTTAAACTAAACAATAAGTAGTAAAAGTATAGTTTTTTTAATTCAATAACATTAAAATAAAAGGTTTCCACTTCGAAGAGACACGTTTGTAACGTTTAAGTCTGGTTATTAACTACGATTTAAGGCCAAATGATAGCTACATATACAAAAAATATTTACCTCAAAGCATCTCTTACTGACACTTCAATGGTGACATTATCAAGATCTCTGAACATGGCGTCAAAAAATCCTTCATTGTTTTGTAGTAGTGGAGAAGGCCTATCCAAAAGCTTTGATAGAGTTTTATACTGAGCAGAATCCCACAGTGTTTGACACACAAAAACCTGTTGCAAAAATGCCACTATTATTAATAATTTCCAATTTTCTTTAAGAAATCGTTAACATATAGTGTAAGCGCCTTTCATTGTTATTCGAGCAATTATATAAATGTGCAAATACTGACCATTTATCTACAGGCTCTCAACATGTAACAATCTAGACTAATTTAATATGGAGTCAGTTTATACTGATCCTTTAATTATTTTATATCATTATTCATCACTTTAATGTAAGCATAATATTAGCATCAGCTACGAATTTGTACATGAAGCAATGAAGTATCTAAATTATTAAAAGATATACGTTAAAATTAATATAAATAAAGATTTTAAAGAGAGTATACGGCTAACAAAAATAATCATGCTTGATATTTTCAAATTACTTTATATGCAAATTATGCATTCATTAAAAATACATTATCCCTTAACAATAAAAAAGGCAATATTTTAGTCACACGTATTATTGTACCTCGGCATGTCCCGCGATAAGAAATACAGCGGAAATCACGCTCCATAAAAGCAGGGAGGCGAAGCATATCCACACGGCAGATCTGAAAGATTTAATGAAAAGTAGTCGAGTATACTGGCAAGACAAATTATTTTTAAAATGAAATAAACATATCAAAAGTCTTAAAAATAACAATTTTTTAACCATGAAAAACGAGTTAGTGATCCGAGAAGCGCTACGACCACTAAGAAATATTTATACTGTCGAGGCTCGTCTGTAATCTGTCGGAGACATAATAATTATAATCCTTTTCCACCATTGGTTCTAAGAAAAAGATGTAATGGGGATAATAAAATTAATATCCATTTCATATCTACACCATCCTCTATTTTACTTTTATCGAATGCTTATGGTACTTACAGTTGCAGTGTCCTTTTAGCGTGGATCTTTGCTCTTCCACATCCACACAACAAGGCTGCCAACATTAACATCATGACCAAAGCGCAAACTACGGTGCATACTGTAAAATAGACATCAATTTAAGTCCACGTAAGACAGTAATATTACTGCAATTATACAAAATTTATATACATTTTTCAATATTCTTCCATGTTTATCTCAATCATTAAAATGTTAATTCAAATGTTTAGGTCAGTAACACCTTGAATGCAGATTACCAACATTTAAATAAAGACGTATAAGATTGCAATTAATTATATAAATTACGAAAAACTTGTTATAAACACAACATCTAACAAATCAATCGTATGTACGATAGGCATAAGTGAATATCATCATCATCATCAGCACCCCACTATAAGTCCCCAACAAGGGGCAAGGAGCCTACCCTAAGTCAGTTATAAGTGAATTTGTCTATACTAAGTTATATGTTATAAAATTACCCACTAGGATTAAACTAATTTTATGGATTTTAACTTAATGTGTTTAATTAATTCTTTAATGGTCGACGTTACGAGCACTTCGAAGCCCTCATGGTCCCCTGACCATCAAAGACATTAAGATCCGTAATATTAGTTCAATTTCCGCATGTAGTATACACGTTAATATAAGAAATTATTTAAATAATAGCGGAATATAACTCAGCTTGCGTCTCAAGGTGAAAGTCATTTAATTATAAAATGCTTAAAATTCAAGGTCCTCTTATTCGATGTCGATAGTTCTCGCAGAAACTGGTTATACTGAGACAAGTTCGGAAGATTTGATCGATATAAAGCAATACAATTTATGGTATTTAGGAAATATCCAATTTGTATATCTTACATAATTTGAATTATTTCCTTCTTTTTCAGACGACCAAAAAGCAATTTATAAATAAAAATTACTAGGGTACTACTTTATGCTCTGATTACAATCATACCTTTCGTCCTTGTCATGTAACGAAAAGTGACACGGCATATTTACTGCCAATCTTTGACCAATTATGAAACCTTATCGATTTTCACAACATGAAAGTAACAAACAATATATAAACAATTTAATTGTAAACAAATTTACCCAACATGAAAATCCATCTCCAAAATTCATATATCTGTATTCTTTCAAAACTGGCGTCAAGTTGCCTAGAAAAGGAATGCAGGCCGGCCGTCAGGTACCGCACAATATCGCTCAGGATTCTAGCCGAGCTGTGAACTTTGTCACGACGAATTTCTATGTCACGTAGAATACCTGAAAGAATTTGCTTATTAAATTAATTTTCATGGGATAGAAATCCAGAATGTCCTAGTTTTGTTTTTTGGATTTATTCGATTTGAATACAAGAATTCCTCCATCAAAGTATCTTCTTCTTTCGTGCACCCGACTACGAATCCTAGTTATTACATTTTTAACTTTAGTATAGCCGTACATCGTATTGATATAAACATTTTTTCAATATTAGTTTGACCTCATATGTGATATGTATTCTTCCGGTAAGTTTTATTCTGGTTCCTTCTTCCAAGGTCCTATAAATCTTTATTTTGACACGATTTACAATTGTTTTAAGAATTAGAAAATCAATCAATGTGTATTCTATAAAACGGCAAGCTGCTCAAGATATCGCTAAATGATGGATTGTATTAATATCCATGTAGGAATGCTTATGACTGCTTGGAATCAATTAATCATCTGACTGCCTTATTCCTTACAACTGTAGCTAAACATATAAATAATAGATACTTGATTTTACGTCATGGAAGTGCAGAATATGTCATCATCAGCTCACTACATGTCCCCACCGAGGGGGTTGGTTGACTTCACACATATCTTTGAATTTTTTCTCAGACATGTGCAGGTTTCATCACGATGTTTTCCTTCACCGTAAGAACGTCGGATAAATATATATATGCAAATCGGAAATCGAAAAACACATTGGTACATGGCGGGATTCAAACACAGGACCTGCAGATTGCAAGTCAAGTGCTTTACCCCTGAGCCACCGACGCTCAATATGTACTTATTGATAAATAACAGTTATCCACTAATAATATTATCGTTTTATCTAATTCAGAAAGCAGACAGATAAAACAGAATTTGCTATTTAACAGGGTAATATAAGTGATGGAGAAACTCTGAACAAATCGAAAAGACTTCGGCAGAAAAATCGACAACTTGTAAAAATAACGTATTTACTTACTATCTCTTACTTCCTTGGTCTGTGTTAAAATAATTGATGGTAAAGTACGCAATTCCTGTTTCGCTGCGGCAATGGCAAGTGTCAAGTTATCCACACCTAGAGCTCGAAGCTCTAATAACTGTTGCTCCTTTAATATCTATAAAGAAAAGTAGGGATAATTTGTGTCTTCACTTGTTATGGTAATTACATAGTTAGATTTGATTCAATTAATTCACTGTGGTTATAAAGGATGGCGGCGGTGCAGCAAAATGAAACACAGTATTTTCAATATGGGTGCGCACTGTACGTTCGACGGACGACATTCGACTGCCCAGAGCCGACCACCCTCCAAATTCACTTTATTCTTAATATTCAAAAACTACCAACTATATTTTCATCTACCTTGGTATAAGTTAGTAGTTTACAGATAACAAATAGTAGTTATTGAAATGATGTAGAATATAACATAATAAACATTAATACAAAGAAAATAAACAAAATACAGTGCTACAATTTAGTTCAGTTAAATTACATAATATATTGTGAAGGCTTTAAAAATCTATCGTCAACAGTCGTACTAATAGTATTTTAAAATTAACAGTAAATAAATAACAGTATGGTATCCTTTAAACAGATGATTTCTTGAAATTATAGTAAAAGTTAGATTAACTCATCAAAATAAGTCTTGATTCTAAACTTTTAGTGCCATTTAGTTGTATTATATATTAGTTGTACCTGTAATTGGTTATTTACCGAGTTAAACTTTAGTTTCAGTTCCATAGAATGAGTGTTAATTGTATCACAGAGTGGTCCGTCTTTCGGCGAGCATTGCTTCTTCAGGCCGTCTATTTGTCTGGCGAGGTCATCGAGTCTGTCCGCAGCGACTGCCGCTAATGTGCCTGCCTTAATACTTATGTTTCGCAAAGCGGACACTTTCGATGAGAGGTCTTCACTTTCTGAAAGCCACGCAAAAAATCTTATGTGTAATTCATAAAATTGATTATAATATTCGACTTAGGAAACGCAAAAACCAACAGCATTATTGTTAGTTTTTCTATTATATTTTAAATGGAAACATTTACTGGCATACCAAGGTCATAATAATCCTTTTCTGTGTTGTTAAAAGTAGTATTTTTTTATAATATTATTGTAGAGTATCTTCTTATTATTATTTTGAGTAATTTTCCTATCGAAGGTTTGAAAAAAATTCATCGTTTATTTTATTACAGTAACAATTAAATAGCTATAATAATGTTAGTGGCCAGCTATAAATTTATGTCGTCTGCAACACTCCTTTAATAGTACTAGAATACGACTAACGCCTTGTATAGTTGGGTCGTTTGAATGCCTCACGTAGGACAATTTCGCATTTCAATAGATACCTGCTATTATGTCGGCTAAGGAGTCCAGCACCAAATCGATACCGCTCTCCGAAGCAATAGCTTGTTGTATTGGCTCGCCTAGGAACGTGTCGACATCTGTTTACATACATGTGTGTGTTGTTAAAAATATACATTTTGCAAATAAAATTGAGAATTTTTATTGCACATTATTAAACTCCTACTAAACTGAGTTGTATGCCGTAGTAAAGTTTGTTCCAGAATAAAATAAACTTAACTTTTATTTTGAAAAACTAAAAAAGCTCTACTAACTGAGGTTCATGTGGACGATATACTGGCAACTAAGGGCTTCCCTTTTAAAACGACACTCCGAAAAAGAATACGTTTGGAATATTTTCTCATTCAACAAATTCGTTTTAGTTGCATAGGCTTTAAATTTTCACAAAGGAATTTATGCGAAAAATTACTTTCTTTCTCATTTGGATATAAATCGATCTGGCAGATAGAAAACCAATTATTTTCAAAAGAAACACAATAATTAAGGACTTTATCATCAAACCGTTGTAACGATCGGTAGTGATTTCTATGTCTTTATCGTTTTATAACATCTAAAATAATTCTGATACTCAATTTTGACATGTAAATTACCTGCTTGTTTACACAAAAATAAAGCCTTAAATTTAAAATTAATTAGGAATAAAATTTTATTTTTATTATCTGTGTGAAATGGCTTCGCGTAACAATAAACGTGAAGGTGTACTCGTGTTGGAAATTCAATTTGGAAAGGGTGCGCTACCATAATGTAATCCTTTCACCTTCATGAGAGCTGTTTGCTACAGAATTGATACAATACTCCTTCTCATCTAAATATACAGCTCTGAAAATGTTTAAGCATATTGCAGTGGTATGTAAACACATTTTATTGTAAAATTACTAGGAGATATTTCAACTAAAGTATATTTTACACGCTAATAGCCTAATAGTTAAGGATGCGGATTAATAATCTAGCAGACTTTGGTTCCTACCATTGGAATTCTGTCGTAAATCACATGTTAGAAAAGTTTCAAGCTTAAGAAAAATTTGCTAGTATTTTGACAAAAAAGATATAAAGAGTCCATTACTAAGGTAGCTTTAAATGTAAGAGTAATATACAACATAATGGCCCATCTGAGTGTTTGTCCCGGAAACTTCAGATTTGCCCTTGCCATTATATGAAGGAAATCGCACACTTTTCCGAGACTCCCTAACTGCGTATAATATATGGAGACAAATAACTCTTTGATATTTGCGGACCAACACACTTTTATACGTTTCAAAGAATAGAAAGCCCTCGAAAGGGTTACTTTCTTACAATAACCTGTATCAGCATTTCAACGTGAATAACTTTTTCCAACAATGCGATATGTTTTATTTTTTTCATTTTTAACAAAAGGTGTTTATTATCTTCTATATGAAAAAGATGCTAGCAGCAACAACATATGTGAAATACCACGACCATGCAGAAGACAGCCGTGATGTGGAAGCAATTCCGCGTTTGGTCTGATGAGTGTACGTCTCGGAGGCCTATATTTAGGCCCATTTCTTTACCTCCCCTTTTCTTATAAGGAAACGATGTGAAGGGATAAAAGGTAGTGGATTTAATGGAATTGGAGACATAGGAAGAGGACATATCCTTTTTCTTTGTACCATATACACCGCCGATTAAATGTAGACAAAGCATTTGCAAAAGTGTCGCTACTTTGGTATGTTGTGCTACTTACTTCTCAAGTCTTCTTGATAAGCGTAGAGCACAAGATCTATAGGCGGCACTAAACTGTAATGCAGCTCTCTCGCAGCGACTGACAACCACGTTGCTATGTCTGCGCAAGCGCAGTTTACCACGTTACGACTGCTCATCGCCGCCACGTGCGACTGTTCATTGCTCAACACCATACCGCTTATTAGGGTGCTGGAAATGAAAAACATTTTGCAATAATAATAAGTCATATGTCTTATTTTTTTCTATATAAAATTATTCAAATATTTTAATCGTAAATGTTGTATATCTCATATACACGACGATTTATTCTAATGAGCTTCTTGAAGTTTTTATTTAGATCTATATTGTGAAGTATTTTTATTAATGAAAATTAATCGACTTAAGTGCTTCTGTAAATAAAAGCTATATAAAAAGGATAGCAAAGGTTAAATTTTCTTCAATAAAAGCGAAAGGCAATTCATTGAGAAATGCATGCCAATTGTCCCCTCGGGTCATTCTGTAGAATACTCGGGCGACCCTTATTATGGGCTTATTGTACTCTTCGATCTCTGGCCGACCTTATTCACCTAAAAGCTAGGCATAGTGGCCGTTGTGACTTCCCAGATAAGAGCATTAACGTTTGTAAAGGATGAACTCTTGTCATATTTTTAGCTCTATTTCTATTCCATTCGGAAAGATGTTTCTTATTTTATTAGTAGATTGAGAGCAAATGTCTTAAACAGATCTACTAATTTGGTAATTTATTCTTGTCTGGCTTCTTTATATATCATTATATAAAGGGAGGCTTTACTAAAATCTATTTATTCAGACAATCTCTATCCTACTCTACATCCAACTCTCCGTAGTGGATACAATAAATATAATTTGTAGTTAATTGAATAAAATTAAATTTCAAGTAATAATATTAATAGCTTACCAACATATTATAACAGTAAAGAATGTCATAAAGACCAAAAACTTATCAATACAACTTGAACCGTCTTGGTCCGGGAATAAAGCTCCAGTTTCCGCTTCGTCACTGCAACTTGATTTTGATAGAAGATATATAATCGCCAAAATGATCAGATAAGTTGGTATTATTAAAGCGATACACGCGAACAGCACAATAAATGCTAAGAAAGTTGACTCCACTTTGATAGACTGAAAAGAAACCGAAAAAATTAAAATTAGTGTAACCGTATATTCTGTTTTACAATATATTGTAAAACGTAATTAACATTTACAATGATTAAAAAGTGAGTTTTACAATTGTTAAATGCTAACTATCTATAGAATCTAGCTTCAGGTCTACTAGTATTTCCAATATTTGCAACTACTCTGTGGTTAATACAATTTTAACTACAATTTTACCTCATTATCTAGGGCTGCTGGTAACTGCTATTTCGACATCTAAATTAATTTAAAAGACGTAAAGCGAATTTAGTTTAATTATATTTAATAAATGTCCATTTATTCAGAAGGTTTTTTGCAATTTCACCGGATTGAATAATATATGAATACAAAATCATTGTTATACTGTGAATCGTCGATGTAATTAGGAAATGGCTGATACGATTTTTCTTTAGAATAGGCTCTTTTGTAAATGACTAGCGGTGTACGACTAGGGTTGTCAAAACACCAGAATCCTAATGACTACTTACCATCTTACAGACTTTTAAGTTTTTCGCATAAGTAATTTACCGATTTTTTTTATGATATTTAAGTTTTAAAAGTGTTAAAATACAGATAGTAAGTTTTGATTTTTAATATCATTAATTTATTAACAAATTCAAATATTAATTGAATAAATAAAAGACTGATATTTGCGGCATTTTTCTGTTTCTCCTGTTGTTATTTGTACTTTGTTTCATTGTTGGCAACCCTTGAAAAAGTCGATATAACCCTGAGTGCTTATTTAGAACGGAATGGTTTTTAAAGCTTGTCGGATAAAGCTTTTCTTGTAACGTTTAATTGCGCAAGTAAATGTTTTTACATTACTTAGTTTTATTCATTTTATACAGAAATTAGTTGTAAATAGATAATAAATAAAAGAGAAAAACTTTCTAAAGCAAGCTTTTACTAATTTTTTGTTAATTAAAATAAAAAAAAGTCAAACTACTCGTCAAGACGATTCAAACAAACCCTCGATGAGTTTGTGTCGTTTCATTGCAAACATCGGAACAAGTGTAACTAAAAAAAAGCTTATAAAAAGTACTACAGTACTCTTGTACAAGTTCCTCTGGTATGCAAATGCAAGTTTGAGCTTGTACTTAAAATGTCATACGGAAAATAATTGCTATACTAGGTAGAGATTTTTGAAAATTTTTATATATACCTAACACAAAATGTATAATATAGACGTTTGATATAAGCTCTTCTTATTGACTAATTTTGCAATCAAGTTGTTTACACGGGTCAGCACAAATTATTTCATCTAGTGTGCAATATGGGAACGGCATTGACATTTTAAAAGGCTTGTTTCCTGAAACTCAATATCGTAAAGTTCACACTGCCAAGATTCAACGAAGTAGATCGCGTTAAAAGCTAAAACAAAGTATACTTCGTATCTTTATTGTCGACAAGCGTGCCGTTTTTTAAATCGATCTGACCTTATCTTAATTTTCTCGCTTAAGTCTCTTTTAAATTTTATGTTAACTACATATTAACAAATTATATCGATTTTAAGACAAGTTATCAAAATAATCGAGCGTCGGTGGCTCAGGGGTCCAAGTACTTGACTTACAATGTGCAGGTCCTGGGTTCGAATCCCGTCATGTACCAATGTGTTTTTCGATTTCCGATTTACATATGTATATTTATCCGACATTTTTACGGTGAAGAAAATTATCGTGATGCAACCTGCACATATCTGAGAAGAAATTCAAAGATATGTGTGAAATTAACCAACCCGCACTTGGCTAGTGTGGTTGACTATAACCTAATCACCCTTAACTTAGGGTAGGCTCCGAGCCTCGGTGGGGACGTATAATGAGCTGATGATGATGATGATCAAAATTAATAAAAGACTGATTTGATAGTCTCTGGTAATAATGTATTACAATCTTATAAAAACTAACAAGCTAAACTCGTTTAAGTTCCGTGTAGCTAACTAATAATTAAATATTTTTTGTTTAATATTTTTTGTTTAATATTTTTTATTCATTAAATAAAATTTTGGTTACTTTTTTTATAAGCTTGTTATTGTATTAATCTTTATAAACATCGTAAACCGAAATGTAACAGGATTTGTGACTAGTTTTTATAAGGCAACTAATAATTTATTACTGGCAACATATATTTTTTATATTTGATGAAAACTAGCAGTGGGAAATAAATTTAAGAAAGAAACTTATGTAATTTCCAATCTATTACATTTTAATTTTGAATTATAAATTCGACTGTAGTCCTGGCTAGTAATAGATTTGCGGAAAAGTATTGTTGTAGCGAAATGTTTTTTTTAAATAATTACTACTTATATATCGTTAAAATTAACATAGTTCTTACAAAATTTATAGAATCTACTAAGGCTAAAAACGTATATTTATTTTAAAAGTATAGACATTGACATTTCTATCAGACATAAACAGTGAGTATAATAATAACTGCTTAATATTTATTTTAAATGATTTCCTGACACAAAGCTTATCCATATTGTAAAGCTCTCGAACAAAAACTCGATACGTATATATTTAAATTCACAGTCCAGTTTGCTTTATATCACAGTGACGACTGATCGCTTATTATATTTTTTAATTCAGTTCCTAAAATTAATTTATAAAAGAAAATATGTTTCTACATACTGTGTTTATTATAACTTTAGTTGTTTTACAATCCTGCGTTAGCTATGCAAGAGTCGCACGTGAGTGTATTTGAAATATTTGTTGTTTTAAAATATTATTTGCATATATACTTTATAGGTTTTTGAAGAAATTATATTAATAATATTTCTTATATTATTATATGAATAAATTACTTTAAGAGTAAAAGTAGCTAATCTAACGCGCCTTGGTGTAACCTATGACAGTTTAATATACGAACTTAAACATTTTCTTAAAAGATTGATTTTGCAGAATTGAAAACTTAAAGCAAAAGAATTATTTTATGACTTTTACATACTAAAATATGTAAGATTTTAAACTTTTATATTTTTTGTAAGTACAATCTCAATAAAGAAAAATGTTACATATTTTTCAGCTGATTATATAACCCCATGTGTGGGATTAAAGTCTGCTTGTCTGAAGAAGAATATTCAAGAAACAATTCCGAGATTTGTAAAAGGCATTCCGAGTCTAGCTGTCAATTCCACCGATCCTCTTACCTACGACTATGTTAATGTAGAACTACCCGGTGGCTTGAAAATTGAGTTCAAAGATGGTGTATTAAAGGGACTTAGAAATTGTTTAGTCAACGAAGCCAAGTAAGTACACTTATATTTTTTATGATGTTTCGTTGTTCGATTCGATTCTTCGTTTTTTTTTACTATATTTTATACTCCGCCCATGCGATATTTAAAAAAAAATTAATAGCCTATGTGTTCTTCCAGACTATGTTTTTCATCTATACTAAATTTCAGCGAGATCCATGCAGCCGTTCTGGATATATGTACCCTTTGACAAAAATCCATCCATCCATCCAATCATACGTCCAAACATTTGCATCTATAATATTAGTAAGATTCTCTCATATAGTTTTTTACTTATATACGGTTTAATTTTATAAACAAGATTTACTGTGTAAAATATTTCTCCAGTGTCAACCTTGAACGGATAAGGAAATACTTTTACGATCTATTTTTTATAGTAACCTTAATCTTTATGACTTTAGTTTACGCAGTTATGGTACAAATAAAACCAACATACCTACAAATTTCATAACCGGACGTCATAAACATAAATAAAAGGGTCACTATAACATCGTTTAGTCGGTGACAAACATTAGACATTTGAGTTATTTGTTATTGTTCGGCTGTTTACATCATACATTCTATTATTTATTATGCTAGATATAAAGATATTTTCTGAATTACTAATTGGTCAGGTAAACCTAAGACCTTGTAATAATGATGCCGGAATCAGAGGTCCAAACTGGAAGGTATTAGCAAAGGCTTATAAACAGCATAGGACTGATACAGTATGATGATGATTTCTTGTAGTAGGACTAGCCCTTGGTTTCTGAGACGAAAATATCTGTATAGAACGTAACATTATCCCTGTCATCTTTGATAAGAGAGATTTTGGTCTCAGAAACCCATGGTAACTAATATTGCTTGCCAACAATAAATATTTATAACAATGCATGTTTAAATATATTTCAGATTCCAAAACAATGATGCTGATGTAGAGTTAACTTGTAATGTTACAATTAAAGGGAAATACAAGGCTCAAGGACAAATACTTATTATCTCAATCAATGGAGACGGAGACGCTAAATTAAAAATAAGTAAGATTTTGAAATTGAATAAAAATCATAGATAGCAGTAAAATTATAATCGTTACAATTAATTGTTATTTTAAAGATTTGTTTTGTTACGAATAGAATCAAGTTTGTAAATGTTTTTTATTTTTGCAATCAAGACTTTATATTGACATTGGAAATTTTTCGTTTTAGTGATTTTATGAAACAATAACGGAAGTAAATTATTATTTAATCGATTAACATCGTTTAACATTTAAGTGTTCGTCGTAAAGTTCAGTTAAAAAGTCAGGGTCACTTAAACGATATTTTTTATTTTTCCAGCGGACTTGAATCTTAAAATAAAGCTTAAGTTCATCGACAATGTTCGTGATGGAGTAACTTATTATGATGTTAAAGATTACAAAGTAAATTATAATATTAATGGAAAAGTACAATTTGCTTTAACAAACCTGTTTAAAGGAAACCCTGAACTAGGTAAGCATCATTTTAATAAATAATTAAACATAAAAAATTTATAGAACAATAAATTAAATTTTCTTTTGTCTTCAGGTCAAACAGTGTTGACATTCTTAAACGAAAATTGGAAACTTGTAGATGCTGAGTTTGGAAAACCATTAGTCGACATTGTTATTGGCATTGCGTTCAAAAATGTTCAGAAATTTTTTAGTAACATACCAAAAGATGAACTTGTTGTATTATAAGTTGAATATAAATATTATATATAATTTAATTTTAATATCGAAGTAAATAAACGCTTAGAAAACAATACAGGTAAATATAATAACGCGTAAAGAACAAAAGAATCGCCTGTGTGTGTGAAACGTAAACTTTGTGATGATAAATCTGTTGTTTCTAAATTGTTTTCCTATTAATAGCGACAGCAAAGATTTTGTGAATCCAAAATGTTTTCAAAACTTTATTGACGAAACAAATTCAATACACTTTAATATTATTATTTGATTGTCTTAAAAAACTCTGTTTCTTAATTGTACTTTAATTAACTGTAATTGTTAGGAATAATATTTAAATAAATATTTTATTAGAAATAGTTTGAATTAATAAAAATATAACAATTAGGTACCTGAATAAAAGATAACGGAAATGTTACTTGTCCCCAAATCACATCCTTGGCAAGACCTACCAAATTAAAAACACCATATTAATTTTCAAAATACGATTAATTTAATTAAGAACAGATAAAAATAATGATTCATATTAGATTATATTTTTAATTAAAAAAAATTCTAGAAGAAAAGCACCAAGAACACTTACCGATAGGAAAATCGAATGGATAAATAACAGAAAAGAAGTGAGCCACAAATGTAAAGGGATGAAATCCTTCCTCTAGTTTAAACTTTGGTACTAAATAATTTTGCATTTGAGGTAAACTACTAAACTTTATTTTACTCTGATCCATTTCTTCAAACCACTCTATGGAATTACTTGCTCTTATATCATTCTCCGTTACTGTTGAACTTAGCGTACTATTGATCGAATTTATGTGTTCATTCGATATTTCCTTTGTTATTGAGAAAATTTCATATGTTACAGGCTTAGTTGTTTTCGTTAATATCGACACATCATTGGCGTGTATTGTTTCATTCAATTTTCCTGTTTTCTCCTTTTTCGCATTTTTTAAATTATTGTATGTATCTAACCACGCCTTAATTGCTATTGATTTCGTCCCGTCCACATCTCTTTTATCCCAAACATTTCCTCCAATTCTATCATTATAAACTTGTAGATTTTTAGCAACTTCCAACTGACGTTGGGGTTTGAAATTTAATTTATTATGTTCTCTATATGCTGATTCTAAACAGTTTTCCCAAATAATATTTAATGGTGGTGGCAAATTAATGTTTTTCCTTAAATTGATATTGTACATTGGATTTTCTGTTTTATTCTGTTTGGTAGCGGTTAGCTCCGACGTCTTTAATAATTCATCATTTCCTTCATCTACTTCGTTATTTTTTTCTTCAATGGAGTTTTTTCCTGACGATGTAATTGGGGAGATTGCAAGAAAATTTTCTTCTTGTGCTTCTAGAGACTTGCTCGACGCGGTACTAGCAACATCATTTACTTTATTTCCTGTTGAAGCCGCAGGCGTTATTTCCGATGTCGTCCGCATTTGTTGGAAAACGTCTTCGGAGTAGCTATTTTTGAATTTCACTTCGCTCACTGCATCCGATTTAGCTTCTAAGCATATCAGTTTAGCTCCATTGGTAATAAAAATTATAACCATCAATAATATTGCTGACATCTTCATTGTTTTAATTACACATGACGATTCACTACCGTTGAATAAGTCTTATTTGTTCGTTATGTGAAGGAAACTGTCCGTAGGAACGTGAGGCATTGGAAAGAGGATTTGTAGCACTTAACAGTCTGCCCAGCGACAGTATAAAATCGTATCATGTCGGCCACAGTGTGCCTTTACTGGATTATGCACAGAGTATTTAAAATTCAGTCTACCCTCAATATTTGATGTCATAATTTTTTAAACGTTTCTAATAATGTTAATATTTTTAATTCATATACGACATGCTATTTATTCTGAACAGTCCATAAAGGAAAACGTAAGTGACAATGTCTAATCAAATAATATAAAATCTACAACACACAATATAATATTAAAATTCGGTACTCTATACAAATATCCTATTAATTATAATATTTTACCTGAGTATTATTTAATTTAATTTTATATATATATATTTTTTTATTTAAATTTAATACAAATAATTCAGTTATGCCGACAGAAAATGTATTTAAAAAAATTAATTAATATCCAAACGATCTGTAAATTTTAGTTACTCTGTGCGGTGCGTCCTCCATTGAAGTGTTGCTGACTATGAGGTTATGGAGGGCGAAACGCGAATGACGATATTATAATTTATATTCATTAGTATATATGTATCGTTAACTAGTCATCTTTACATCTATCGTAAAAATTATTTATTTTCCTATGAAATGTTTTTGTTCCAACTTTGGAATCGTTTTTCATATTAAAAACATTAATAGTTGCAGCAGAACATATAATTCATAAAGCTGACAGAGATATGGATAAAAGTTATATGGTAAAAAAAAGGTTTTTTATGTTACAAGTTTCTATTATTCATATGTATCCATAATTGGATTATAGGGCACTCTTGGAGTTACCGAAGGGAATACGATGCTATCGCAAGACAACGGACTACTTCACTTTTAAGGTTTCAAAACACGTAAAGTTCAGATGTACCTGCTAATTGATATATACTTTTGTTAAATCTAATTGGACCAAATTCTTTTAATGCTAAGAAATTGATACATGCACTAGATTTTGCTCGCGACTCCCTCCGCAAATTATTTAAATAATCTTTATATTAACGTCCCAAGGAAAATTGATAAAAGTACCTATCCTACATACGTGTGCTGGTTCTAAGCTACCTAAGTTTTTGAGTTATAAATAGTGAAAATATGATTTCCTTTTATCGATGTCTTCGACACATTATATACTTTATTGGGATATTCAAGCGTCACAATTATTCAGTGTATGCTTTTTTGAATTTGAATATTCATCGACATTGGCGATTCAAAAATTTCCCATGATTTTCTCCTCTTAAATAATTATTTCTGTTTATTCAAACTATAGTTGAATTATGTGAAGTCAAGATAGTAATAAGTTCATGTGAATCCAGTATTGGTATATTAGCTTGTAACGACTTGATTTTGTGAGCATGGAATTTCTTTAAATGTACAAATAAAAGTATCGCAACGACCATAAGAAAGTTTACTGAAATACGGAATTTAAATCAAAAGTGTCAAAGTTAACGTGTCTTTTCCTTTGACGATAAAATGAGGGCAAGCGGCCGTTAAGACTTATGTATGTGTGTTAAGTCAACACATCACTTTTCTTTAGTACCGGGGTTTTGCGAGATTTTTTTAAGGTAAATTGACTAGTCGCAGGTGACTGGGGAAACGGGTCAGCGGGTCTTGACGTCGTGTTATGTTCATGAGTCAACAGGGCCGTATATAAGGGCAAAATAATTTTGTTGTTTATTTATTCGATTTATAAATTAAGGTCGTATTGTTTATAATTTTATGCAATTTATTGGCCGAAACCGTTTTTGGTACAATAAAAAGGAAATAACCTTTTAAATGATATGAAACTTTTTCGTTTAATACACACTTGTATTCTGGATATTTTTAGGTTGTTTAATATATCTCTAATTTAACTGTCTTCTTCTGTCCTATGTATTAAAATGAAATTAAGGCGATATAAGTATATCCTTACGTTTAACAACGGAGCGTAGGGTTATAGCGCTCATCCTGCGTTAGTACAGGATACAAGATACTTTTTTTAATTTATTTGTAAATGAAAATCATAGATTAAGATTAAGTCCATCTCTGTTAGGGAGCACATATTTCTATTAATTATTTTGACAACTAGGGCGCGCCTCCCTCAGGGTGACCGCCGTCTTAGCCCATTGCCCCCTCCTCGTCTTCATTAACCTTTACGTTACCAAACCCGCCACGCAAAGTAGCGTGTAAGTGTTTGCTTAAGTAAATTATTATTTTCATAAACATCCCAGCCTTTTACATGTTTTTTTTGTCTTAAGTTTTAAATTATTAAAAAAATAAAATATAATACTAAATGTTCGAATAAAACCTATTTGTTCCTTAATTTATAAATCGCTGTAAATAGTTGTAGGCCTCTCGTAAATTAAAAAAAAAATATTACGTAATATTATTACTATTGTCCATCGTAAATATAAAATTTATTAAAAATGGTTGGTGGATTTTAGTTTTTGTGGTAAATACTGTCTTCGGTTCTTTCTATTTAATACGGAGTAATTCAAACCTCGTAATTACATTATGTTGAACATTAACTAAGAGGCCTTTAGAATATGTCTGTAATGAAAACACTCTAATTTCATTAATGAATGAGTTTACTCGGTTATTTCAACTCCATTCAGTGACATACTTTGCGGATTTTAAGTGAGAAGGAACATAAGTTCAGAAATGGTGGATTTTTTTAAAATTTTAATAGCAAACAGACTTTATTTAATTTAAAATGCAAGTACAAATGAAATTATTTATTATAATGGACATGCTTATTTATAAAATGAGGTTAGTTGACAATCCTAAAAAATGCTGAAGAAAGGAAGAATCATTTAATATATACCAACGTAAACGTATGTAGACTAAGCAAAGCAAATTAAAATCCACAAAATATATCTATACACTTAGAAAGCGTCACCTAATAACACTTTCATATAAATTAGTATTGCAACACACAATTCGTTATTATTCAGTGCGGTAACACATCGAAGCTAATCCAACTCAGCTGGATTAATGCCACAGTTAGTAATAACCATACTTGTACTCAATTAAGGTGACGTAACAGACTATAGCTTAACGCATTATCGAAGCTTAAAGTAACCACATAAGACCGAATGTGTCGTCAGCAAATTAAATTTCTAGATTTTAGTCACGTGATTGAAAGACTTTATGCTACTTTCATTAAGAACAAACAATAAAAAAGTTCTCATTATGTTATTAAAAATCTATTAGAGTACTGCGGCTTTTATTAGCCAAATTTAATATACCACTCACAGTCGTTTCTAAAAACAATATTGCTTTAAAAAAAAATCATTAGAGAATCTTTAAAAATCAGGGTTAAACTTAGTTATCATAGCAAATTTTACATTTGTTCCAACACAGCTTAGCTTTTATCGGGCCTCCTTGATCATGAATTTCATGCGCGCACAATAACATTTGTGCAGCTCTCG